CTACAGGATGACGCTGGGGCAACGGACGGGTGTAGGAACCCCCCCCCCCCCCCAAAAACAAAACAAACAAAGCAAAACAACCCTTTTTGTTGCAATCCCTCGCGTGCCAACCGCCTCCTGCCTGGGAGGCGACCGCTGACGCCCTTGGTGCTTTTGCCATCTGTTTCTATGTGCGGCGTGCGCTCAGAGGAGCTTCGGATGGGTTCCAAGAGAGGCATTGGAGCAGGGGCGGGGAGGACACGAGGGAGAGCAGGGGAAGGGAGGATCGCGAGGAGGAGGAGGAGGCGGAGGAGTAGGAGGATGAGGAAGGAGGAGGGAGAGGAGGGAGTGTTGAGAATCGTGATGTTTAGAATGTAGTTCTTGCTTCCGTCAGCTTTCTCCATTCCGTTGACCGCGCAGCTCTGTATTTCAACCGTGGCATGTACAATCGGCCAACACTGTTCGTGTTCTAGGCTTAGCGAAAGAAAGAAAGAAAGAGGGATGAGGAGGAGGCGCAGAAGGAGCAGACGGATGGACGTGTCAGGAGTGCGGCGGGAGGAAGCAGGGGGAGAGAGAAGCGACGACGACGACGACGTCGTTATTGATGATGCTGTTGCTGATGATGAGGATGCTGATGGTGAGGACAATGACTGCGATGCTGCTGATAAGGTCATGATGGCGACATCGATGACAATCACTACGCTGATTATACTGATGCCGACGGTCATGATTGTAACGACGGCGGCGAGTATGATGATGGTGGTGATGATAAGGCTGGTGGCCGTGATGAGGATGACGCTGTCGCTGTCGTTATCATTGTAGTTGTCGGTGATCATGACGATGCTGCTGATGATGATGATGATGATGATGATGCTGATCGTGATGATGATGATGCTGATGCTGATGCTCTTGCTGCTGCTGATGATGATGATGACGACCATGATGATGATGATGATGATGATGATGATGATGATGATGCTGATGATGCTGATGATGATGATGATGATGACGATGATGACGCTGTTGCTTCCGCTGCTGCTGCTGATGATGATGATGATGATGATGGTGACGACGACCTTGCTGCGGCGGTTGATGAATGTTCCGTGTTGCTGGTAACGAATAGGGTCATGCCGAGTGACAAGACCGTTGATAATGATAACGAGGAGGAGCGGGATGGCGTAACAAAGGGAATAACGCTGATGCCGATGATGCCAACAAGAGGGATGTATGCCGATGTCGAGGACGAGCGGGATGGAGTAAACTGGGGGAGGACGATAAGGAACAGGAGGAGGGATGGTCGTGGTGGTGGTGGTGGTGGTGGTGGTGGCGGTGATGACGTTGACGATGACGATGACGATACTGATGACGGTGATGATGCTGATGCTGATGATGATGCTGATGATGATGATGGTGATGATGCTGATGATGATGATGCTGATGATGCTGTTGCTGATGATGATGATGATGATGATGTTGATGCTGCTGATGATGCTGATGATGGTGATGAGTATGATGATGGTGGTGATGCTGCTGCCGAGGATGATGATGATGATGATGAGGATGATGATGATGCTGCTGATAGTGATGATTGTGATGGCGATGTTGATGCTGATACTGATGAGGACGATGATGAGGATGAAGAGGATGCACCAGAGGAGGGATGGGTGGGGGGAGTCAGTGGTGGTGGCGATGATGAACATGCAGGTGAAGATGGTGACAACCACGCACACTAAGCCGAATCAGAAACATACAACGGCAACTACTACGACTGATACTAATAAGACGAATGATACGGATATTCGTACTACCATGAAAAATGATACGACTGCGAAGACGCATCGCAATATCATGCTACACGTTGCGACGACTATGTCTGACACTGATAAGACGCACATCAATAGTATCACGACCACCGCGACTAATAATAGTAATATCGCTACGCTGATGATGCTGATGATGATGAGGATGAGGAGGCGGGGTCCGAGGATGAGGAGGTGGAGGGAGAGGGGGACGAGGATGCTGCTGCTGCTGATGATGCTAACGATGCTGCTGCTGATGATGCTGATCCTGCTGCCGATGATGCTTATGCTGATGATGACGACGACGATGATGATGAGGATGATACTGATGATGGTGATGACGCTGATGAACACGATGATGCTGTTGATGATCATGATGATGCTGATTATGATGATGGTCATGAGGATCGTGATGCTGCTGATGCTGCTGCTGATGATGATGCCGCCGACGACGACGATTTTGATGGTGATGCTGATGATGATGTCGATGATGATGTCGTTGTTGTTGTTGATGATGATGATGATGGTGGTGCTGATGATGATGACGATGATGATGGCGATGATGATGGTGGTGGTGGTGATGGTGATGATGATTGTGATGATAATGCTGCTGACGATGCTGATGATGATGCTGATGATGATCATGATGCTGTTTCTGATGATGATGATGATGACGATGATGATGATTATGATGATGAAAAGCTGATGATGCTATGATGATGCTGATGATGATGACCAGGAGGAGGAGGAGGAGGAGAAGGAGGAGGCGGAGGAGGAGGAGGCGGAGGAGGATGCTCTTCCTCTCTCTCACGATCGTCGTCTGACAGGCTGACTTTTGCTGCAGGGTGTTGCGAAGCAAGAGAGGGGAGGGAAGAGACGGATTCGTGAAGATGCGGAAGGGGGATGAGGGAGAAGGAGGTACGAGCGGTGCAAGAAGGGCATGCGCAGCGTCCCAGTTGTGGCGAATGGGGCGCCCTCCCCCGCCTCGCCACCCTCGCCACCCCCCGTCCAGGGCTGCATTTGGTTGCGACGCCTTCCTTCACAACTCGCAGAGGAGGAACAACGAAGACGTCGGTGACCCGCAGAGGAGGACGCAGTGAGAAAGGGCGGGATGGAGGGAAGGAGGATGGGGAATGGGACGAGGACGAGGACTAGGAGAAGAAGGGAGGAGGAAGGATGAGGAGGGGGAGGAGGAGGAGGATGGGGATGATGATGAGGAGGACAAGTTTACACATACATGTATAGTGCGTATCTATGGTTGTATAGATGTATATCATGACCTTCGGCCCATCCCGCCACTGTGCCTGGGTAATTGGTATGAAGCCTATTGCGTGTTCGTTGGGATTTCGTGGGGGGCCTCTTGGGGGCCTCTTGGAGGCAGTTTGGACGCCTCTTGGGAGCTTTTGGGGGCCCTCTTGAGGCTTTTTTTGTGCCTCATGGGGGCCTCTTGGGGCCTCTTGGGAGCCTCTCGGGGGCCTGGTGGGGCCTTCTGGGCGCCTCTTGGGCCTCTTGGGGCGAAAGGCTCGGATTTTCGGTTCGTGTTCCCTCTTTTCGGCCCCTTGGGGGCCGTCTTGGGGCCCTCCTGGGCCGTTTTGGGCGCCTCTTGGGCCGTCTTGGAGCCCTCTTGGGCGGTTTTGGGGCCCACTTGGAGGCCTCGTGGGCCGTCTTGGGGCGGCTCTAGGGCTGTCTGGGAGCGTTGGGAAGCCAGAAAGGAGAAAGCGCCCAATCCTTCAAAAACCGAAGGACAATCAGTGATTTTGGCTTTTTGGGGCCCTCTTGGAAGGCCTCTTGGAGGCCTCTTCGGGCGTCTTGGAGGCCATCTTGGGCGCCTTGGAACGACCTTTCGGCGGCTCGGGGCCCTCTTGGGCTGTCTACGGGGCCTCTTGGGGCCCTCCTGGCCCGTCTTGGGGCCCTCGTGGGCCCGACAGTGTCACGCGACAAGACTTGCCCGAGCACCAGCGGGCACGCGGGAAGCCCCGGGGGGCACGCGCCAAGCCCCGCCAAATCTCGGACATTTGGGGTCCGGGTCTTGTAGAGGAGCGAGGACGGAGGCCGAGAGGACTCGGCAGAGAACACAGAGCCCCCTCCGTGCCCAGAGGCACGGTGGCGGATATACGGTGTTGTCTATGTCGTGCCGGAAACACATGGGGTGCAGGATGTGCTATGCGGCCAGGAGCGCCTGACAGCCCACGCAGCGGCCAAGACGCGACCACTGGCGCCCACCGCGCGAAAATCCTGAAGCGTCAGACAGCGCACGAGGTCGAGGCCCCACTGGGCGAGAACCTGGAAGCGCCAGCCAGCGGACGAGGCGGACCCGGGCGCTCGCTGGCGAAAGTCCAGTAATTTCAGCCAGCGCATAGGGCGCCCACGAGGCTGCCACTGGTGCCCACCAACCGAAAACCCAGAACCGCCAGCCAAATACCTTCACACCCAAGTAGGTACCCCCTAGGGCAAGCGCTAATTTGGGACACATGTTCTGGACCAAGCTTGTTCCACATCTCAAGTTCTGGTGCCAAGATGACTTCGGCCCAAACCACAGAGCGTAGCCGTTTTGGCTCAAGCCGTTCGGGCTCAAGGCGTCGAGGCTGAAGCCCGCAGCCGCGTTGGCTGCTTACTGCAACGAACACCCCACCCAAACTACCAGCGGGCTGTGTTGGCTGGTTGTCGGTGGACCCAGTCTTCACCACACACCAACCACAGTGTAAACGAATGGCTCCAGTCGACGATCCATGTCGATGGCATCCGAAGTGTCAGATGAGCGTAAGTGAGGTCGTCGAAGACATCGGATTCGGCAAGGCTCAGCTTCTGATGGTGGTCACGGGCGGGGCCGTGTTCTTTAACCGGGGCGTGCAGATGTGCCTCATGTCTATCTTGACGATTCCCATCGCTGCGGACCTCAGACTCACCACCACGCAGCAGGGCCTCTTGTCGACCGTTTTGTTCTTCGGCATGACCCTAGGCACGCTGGCCAGCGGCTGGAACGGAGACGGGGTTGGCCGTCGCTTCCCCGTCGTGGTCAGCAGCATCGCCACCATCGTCATCGGATGCCTCTCCGCGGCGTGCACCAGCTACCGCTGGCTCTTCTTTGCGCGGCTCTGTCTGGGCTTCGCGGTTGCCCTCGGCGACGTGCCCGTGACGGCGCTGCTGAGCGAGGTCACGCCCAAGCAGTGGCGCATCCCCGTGCGGGCTGCGGCCGAGGGGATCTTCGACGTGGGCTACACGTACGCGGCGTTCCTCGCCTCCTGCGGGGACCCCTACTTGATAGAGCTGGACTTCGCGAGTGGCGAACATCTCCGTATCCGCGCCCTCGCGGTCTGGATTCCGGGGCGCGATCCCGCGGATACGCGGCCGCACGGATACGTCCCGCGCGGTGCATGTGCGAGAAAACGCCCGCATCCGCGGGGGGTCGTGTCCAAGGGGCCCGATCCGCGAGGCCGCGGATACGGATATGCTTTTCGCCCACCCAGGACTGGCAGAGGCTGATGGTTGTCACCTGCATCCCTGGAGGGATTCTGGGCCTGTCCGCGGCCGCGTTCCTGCCGGAGTCGCCCGTGTGGCTCGCCAGCAGGGGCGACCGCGCAGAGGCCCTCGGGATCTTCGAGGGCCTCCGGCGGCTGAACGGCAAGCCACCCCGGAGCATCGAGCTGGAGGTGCCGGAGCCCGCGAAGGCGCAGGCGGACCAGTCGGAGCTCGCCGGAGCCCTGGGCGTCGTGTTCGGGCCGCGCCACCTGCTGACGACGTGCATCCTGGCCTACGTCGGGTTCGTGCTCAACGTCTTCTACTACGGCGGCATGTACGCTCAGCCGCAGGTGATGACGCAGGGGCGCGGCCTCGCTCCGGGCTGGGAGATGGTGCTCGGCGGTCCCTTCGACCTGATCGGCATTGCTGTGGCCACGGTGCTCGCTCAGGCGGCGCCTCGCAAGACGGTGCTGATGTTCACGATAGCGGCGGCGGCCGTCTCCATCAGCTGCTTCGGCTACGCGGGGTCGCTCCCGAGGCGAACGCCACTGCTCGAGGTGGTGTACCAGGTCGGCTTCTTCGGCTTCTACTGGGTGCCGGCCATGGGCTTCATCGTATTCGGGCAGCTGGCCGTGGAGAGCTACCCGACCCTGGTCGCCACCACGGGCGGCAGCGTCGTCTTCGGCATGGGCCGCTTCGGCGCGATGACCGCCCCGCTGCTGTTCGAGGGCATGCGCGACGTCAGCGGGCAGTGGGAGCTGTTCACCTACTTCACCTCGGTGCTGTGCGCCATGGGCATCGTCCTCCTGGGCTGGAAGCCAGGCGCGCAGGCTCAGGGGCAACGCTAGGGGCACGAGGCTCGAGGTTTCCGCGCGGTTGCGTGGGCTCCTGGGGAGGGAATCCCCTGCCCTCGGGATGCGTTCTGGCGGCGTTGCCTCGCCGAGAGCGTCCTTTGGGGGGTGCCCGGATCGCCCCGAGAGCCCGCCAGAAACCCGGGCTCCGACCCGAAAGCCAACGCTAGGGGGGGGGGGGGCGGACAGGCTCGGGAGGAGATGCATCGGCCCCCCCCCCGTATCGCCCACTCATCGCCGATAGGGGCCTGACAGCCCACCCCGCCTGGGAGTGTGCGGTTTCGCTGTCGAGAGCTTGTCGCCGATCAATCGGCGACGGGCAGTCGGCCCTGATTGGTTGGTCGACCATGCCAAATCGAGGGTACCCTCGTGTCCTGCCTAACCCGACCTGTGCAACCCGCACGTCCTGTGCTCTTTGCCGTTCTGGGGCCACGTTGCAGTCGCAAGGGTCTTGTGCCCTCTCGCGTGTCCTCTCCAAGCGAGTCCGACTGTATCGAGAGCTTATCGCCGATCAATCGGCGATGTATCGCCGATTCCAGGTCGATGCTCCCCCCCCCGTGGTCGGTCCCCCCCTGTCGTTGCCCCTCGCAGGCCCTGGATGCCCGGAAGCCCGCACGGTCGGTGTAGCTCTGCCCATGCCAGCGAGTGCCTCTCGCGAGGGCCGCGCACGGAAAGTGCCCGTCGCAGATGCTGGCCACACCCTCGCCGGCTGCGTTCGAGGGCGTCCTGTTGTCGCTCGCGCCGTTTGATCGGCCTCCAGGGCAGTAGTCAGGTGACGCATTCGGCACGCATGTCCGTCTTTGATCCGTCATCATCCCAAATACTGGGCGTGTCTGGACTCTCCGTTTTTTCATCCCCGTTCGTGCAAGGCGGACGCGTCTCTGCAAAATTTGACCTTACAATTTGACCTGTCGATATTTTTGTGTTCTATTAGAATGCTAGCGTTTCGGCCAAAAATGCCGACTGCAGCTGCCCGAATGATCTCACAGATCTCTGTACACCACCTTTCAGGCCGCAGTTCGTTGGGGAAGGAAAAAAGGCGCCCCAAAGGGCCCTCGAGAGGGTCCCAAGACGGCCTTGGACAACCCCACGAAGGCCCCATGGGGGCCGAAGCGGGCCCCAAGAGGCGTTCGATACGGCCACAGGGGAGGCAGGATCCAGGACGGCTCAAGAGCGACCCGAGATGTCGGGAGAAGTCTCCCCCGCTGCAAGCCAACCGAGTCCCAAAAGGATTCCCCGGCCGCGCGGGGCCCCACAGCAGCCCGAGGGAGGGGGAGGACGTGGATGCGGAGGAGCAGGAGCAGGAGCAGGAGGATATGGAGATGCAGGATGAGATGGAGGAGGTGGAGGAGATGGAGGAGATGAGATGGAGAAGCGGGACGAGCAGGAGGGCAGCAATAGATGGAGGAGTCTCTCTCCTCCGTCTCTTCCATGCACCTGCTCTCCTCCACATCCTGCGAGGAGCGGAGCAGCAAGAGACGGAGGAACGGGATGAGCAGGAGAGTTTTGTGCATGTTTGGGCTGTGTCGGGCACTTTTAGGAGATCAGGGCATACTGAGGGCTCTGGGGACAGCTTGGAGCCATCTAGATGGGTGCATATAGATAGATGCATGGATCGATGGATTAATGTTTGACCCAGTGGATCGTTGACGGGCGGATCGGTAGATGTGTGGTATCGGGTCGCCTAGATGCATGTGTGGATCGATGCCCACGTCATTGGATGTATGGATGGATGTCCGATTGGACTGGTGTATGGACGGACGGGGGACATAATGGAAGCGGGCTGGAATGTAAGCGCGCGCGCGCGCGGTTCTGGTCATAGTATCCTCATCCACCTTCTTTCTTCCCACTTCACCTCATTATCCTCCTTTTCGCCTCCTCCTCCTCGTCTTTGCTCCTCCTCCACCTCTATGCTTCTGCTGCTGCCCTTCCTTCTGCTCTTCACGTCTCTTCCCCCTCATCCGTGCCGCTCTGCTTCCCTCTAAGTATTGCGGATCCTCGTCATCCCCTTCCCCTTCTGCGCGTCCCTCTGTCTTTTTTCCTCCTCCTCCTCCTTCCTTCTCCCCTTCCCCCTCTCTATACCTCGTCCTGCCGGGTGCGGGAAGGTATGAGTAATGCGGGATGAGAGAGGAGGAGTGATTAGGGAAGGCCAGCAGTACGAGGGACGGCTGAATGGGTTCTGCTGAATGGGAAGGCCAGCAGGACGAGGTTCAGGCTTGGCGGTGTGTATAAGTGGGTGGCGCGATGGGGGTCGGGCTTCCAAGAAGGCGGCGGGCCTTCTAAGAAGGCAGGGCCCTTCGTAGTCTCCCGCCCAGGTTCTAGTAAGCCTTGTCAGCAAGCTTCAGGGCCTTCTAATCAGGCCCCTGCCTGCAAATGAGCTCCCCGCCTTCTTAAAGGACGAGGAGGAGGAGGAGGAGGAGGAGGAGGAGGAGGAGGAGGAGGAGGAGGAGGAGGAGGAGGAGGAGGAGGAGCATGAGCAGGAGGAGGGCAGGAGGAAGAGGCGGAAGGAGGCGGTAGGAGGCGTTGACAGAGCAGGAGGGAGAGAACAGGAAACATGAGGAGAAGGGAGGGGGGGGAGGAGGAGGAGGCGGAGGGAGGCGGAGGAGGAGGAGGAGGAGGAGGCGGAGGAGGGGAGAGAGGAGGCGGAGGCGGAGGAGGAGGCGGAGGGGAGGAGGAGGAGGAGGAGGAGAGGGAGGAGGGGAGGCGGAGGAGGAGGAGGAGGAGGAGGAGGAGGAGAAGGAGAGGAGTAGGAGAGGGGGGGGGGGGGAGGAGGGAGGAGGAGGAGGAGGAGGAGGAGGTGGAGGAGGAGGAGGAGGAGGAGGAGAGGAGTGAGGAGGCGGAGAGGAGGAGAGGAGGAGGAGGAGGAGGAGGTGGCGGTGGCGGTAGGAGGAGGAGGCGGAGGCGGAGGCGGAGGAGGAGGAGGCGGGGCGGAGGAGGAGGCGGAGGGGAGGAGGCGGCGGAGGAGGAGGCGGAGGAGGAGGAGGCGGAGGGAGTAGGAGGAGGAGGAGGCGGGGCGGAGGAGGAGGAGGAGGAGGAGGAGGAGGAGGAGGAGGAGGAGGCGGAGGAGGAGGAGAGGAAAGGGGAAGGAGAGGCGACTGAGAGGCGTCGGAGAAGCAGGAGGAGGGGGAGGCGGAGGCGGAGGAGGAGACAGAGGACGAGGAGGAGGAAGAGGAGGAGGAGGAAAAGGAGGAGGAGGAGAAAGAGGAGGAGGAGGAGGAAGAGGAGGAGGAGGAGGAACATGAAGAGGAGGAGGACGAAGAGGAACATGAGGAGGAAGGAAGAGGGATGGGGAAGGGAGGATGGAGAAAACTAGCATCCGCATCCTCCTTCTTCCGCTCTCGCTCGTGCTGCTGATGCTTCTCCGCCTTTTCGTCCTGCTCCTTCTCCACCTCTTCCTCCTCCTCCTCCTCCTCCTCTTCCCCGAGGCGACGTCATCACCTTCCGAGTCCAGCTGAGCCGTCTGGGGCAGCCGCGGGCCAAGGACATTCAGGCGCTCGGTAGCATGAAGGACTCCTGCGCGCGGGAGGCACATAAGGAGGATGAGGAGGAATACAGGGAGGGCGGAGGGAGGGAGGAGGATGAGAGGCGACGAGGGGGCACGGTTGATGCTGACGTTGCTGCTGCTGATGATGGTGATGACGACGATGTTGGTGTTGATGTAGATGTTGATGCTGTGATTGATAGTGAAGAGGATGGTGACGAGCATGACGATGCTGATGATGGTGATGATGACGACGATGGTGATGCTGCAGGTGCTGCTGACGATGGTGATGATGACACTGGTTATGATCATGGCGACGATCGATGATGCTGATGACGATGATGATGAGGGTGCTGATGACGATTACGATGGTGCTGATGATGGTCATACTGATGCTGATATGATGGTGGTGATGCTGATGATGCGGATGACGACAGTGACGATGACGATGACGATGATGACGGTGATCATGATGAGGAGGAGGAGGATGATGTTGCTGCTGATGATGCTGCTGATAATGAAGAAGAACACGGCGATGAGGATACTGTTGTTGATGATGATGCCGACGATGATGATGCTGATGATGATGACGACGATGCTGATGATGATGACGATGGCGACCATTATGATTGCGATGCTAATGATGATGTTGCTGCCGATGATAATGATGATGATTTGAACAATGCGACCGTCGTCGCAATGAATGGGCACTACTGTCAGCACTAGTGGCTAGTGGTAGTAACACCTTTTCGCTGAGTCGTGCGACTCCACTGGCAACACTGCATTCGCCACGCATGCGGTCATTAGGACCCTCGGAAGGGATGCGGAGCACGAGTAGGAGGAGCAGGAAACGGATAAGGAAAATGAGACGGCGGAAGGGTAATGAGGCAGATATGCTGATGAGGATGGTGATGGGGATTGTGATGATGATGATGGTGAGGATCATGATGCTGATCATGATGATGATAGCGACGATACTGATGCTGATACTGATGATGCTGCTGGTGATGCTGATGACGATGCTGCTGATGATGATGACGATGACGTTCAGGATTCTGATCATGATGAAGGGGGGGAGTGAGACGGGGGAGGAGGATACTGATGATGATGATGGTGATGATGATGAAGCTGATGATGATGATGATGGTGATGATGATGGTAAGGAGGTTGATGCTGCCGCTGATGATGCTGATGACGCTGCGGATGATGAGGATGACGCTGAGTCTGGTAATGCCATCGTATTCTCGCATGTGCGGTATGATGATGATGCCGATGACGATGACGATGAAGATGACGATGATGCTGATGCTGATGACGCTGATGATGCTGATGATGATGAGGATGATGATGATGAAGATGATGATGCCGATGGTGATGCTGATGGCGATGACGATGGTGATGATGACGATGATGACGATGCTGAGGCTGATGATGATGATGATGATGATGATGATGATGATGATGATGATGATGATGATGATGATGATGATGATGATGCGGTTGCTGGTAATGATATTTATGTCGATGATGATGATGGTGAGGATGATTAGGATGCTGATGCTGACGATGATAATCCTGATGATGCTGCTGATGGTGATGATGATGACGGTGATGCTGATGCTGAGGCTGAGGCTCATGATGATGGTGATATGAATCATAATGCTACTGATGATGCTGATGATGGTGATGATGATGCTGACGATGCTGCTGATGATGATGATGGTGATGAAGATCGCGATGACCCTGGTGACGATGATGATGACGTTTTTGTTGATGATGATGATGCTGATGAGGATTTTGTTGATGATGGTACTGATGATGATAAGGCTGAGGCTGAGGCTGAGGCTGAGGCTGATGATGATGATGATGGTGGTGGTGGTGGTGGTGGTGGTGATGCTGATGCTGATGCTGATGCTGATGCTGATGATATATGACGATGATGCGGATGCTGATGCTGATGACGCCCTGATGCTGATAATGAGGATGAAGATGCTGATTCTGCTTATGATGTCGATGATAATGATGTTTAGGATGATGGTGATGGTGACTATGATGATGATGATGATGGTTACTGTGCGCCGATGCTGCTGATGATGATGGAGCTTCTGCTGCTGCTGCTGATGATGATGATGATGATGATGATGATGATGACGATGATTACGATGATGACGATGCTGCTGCTGCTGATGATGATGATGATGACGACGACGACGACGATGATGATGATGATGATGATGATGATGGTGGTGGTGGTGGTGGTGGTGGTGTTAGTGGTGGTGGTGATGGTGATGATGATGGTGGTGGTGATGGTGGTGGTGGTGGTGAGGGTGAGGCTGATTCTGATGTGGAAGGCCATCTGGCCCTGGGCCCCCGAGCAACCCAAAGGGGGTACTAAGTACGTCGTTGTGGAGATACTGGTGGACAGCAGCTGCGCCGTCGACGACCAGTGCGATTACGGCCGCACCACTGACTACGAGTACGACGACGGCAGCTTTTTCGATAGCGATGTGTACACCTACGACGCCCAGGACTATTCCGGCTCCCAGAACGTGGAGCA